TCATGCTGAGGGTTAATCATTAGGCCTTCTCTTACCAACCAAGTCCTTACCAACAGGAGAGTTCGCTTAGCTATATCTACCTAAATACACAGAGGAAAACAATTCCTGATTGGCCAGTTTCTCTTTTGCCATTTCAATAATTGAACCATTTTTTTCATCCAAAACTTAACAATGAAACAAGAGTAGAACTATAATACTTGCAGAGTTTAAAAACAAACATGATTCTATTGAAAAATGAACTAAAAATTACTGACATGTATGTATTGGTTCCCAGAAATTATTTGGTGTTTCTGAAGGCCTAGAAAGACCTGAGAGTTTAAAGAACTTTTAAAGAACCTTTACATAATGATAAACGTTCTATGACAGTTAAACGCCTTTTCCTTTAGGCATCCAAGCTGAGAGTCATCTAAGAACCTTTATTTTTAATGCACCTTAAACAGTCTTTTATTGTTTAAAAAAACAGAACAACTTGTACCACATCTCAGCAGAAGCAGATGTTTATTATTACCCCATGACGTATGCTTTATTTTTGTCATTATTTCTTGGAAAAACTGTCTATGTTTGCTTTTCCATTGTCCTTTCCAATCAGTTTTTAGTCAATCAGTGTGACATTTATTTTTCCCTTCCAAAACCTTGACCCATGAGTTTGTATTATAGTACATGATCAACACCTGGACCTAAGTATGTTATTTGTGGCTCATTGGTGGGGGGTTAAGGGAGAGCATACACTTCTGCTGGTGTCATTCAGAGCCACAGATCTTCTCCTAAGCCCTCCTTGATCCCAGAGATGTGGGCTTGCTAAGCAGTGACCTATCTCCTCCTCAGTGACCTCTGTTCTGATCTCACAGCTTTAGACAGGCAACTCCTTAAAGTCCCCCAAAGGCTTTGATTACAGACCACCAGCTATATAAGGCTCTGTCATCACCAATTACAGCCCACAGTCAGCCCATCCTGTCCCCGCAATGTGTCTGTCTGTCGCTGCCATGGAGGTGGGTTTGGGTCAGCCCCTCTTCTGTTCTGAGCTCCAACTCTCTCAGCATCTGTGCTACCACACTGCCACATGTCTGTGTTTGCTCTGATCTTTGAGGCTCAGTGCCATGTGTCTCTACACTGCCGTTAGCCTGTTAGCCACAACAGTCTGCTATTTTGCCACAGAGCCATGCCACTGAGAAGAAATGCGCTTTGAACTTACTTGATTCGCATCAGCTCCACATAAATAAATTAAATAGCATCAGCGCAATTAGATCCAAAAGGAATCAAAATGAAATACAAAACTGTGTATATTACTGATGTAATATATTTTATTCATACACAACTAATGTACACTTTAGAAAGTAAAGGCACCCAAAAGAGTTCTTTGGAGTTCTTTTGTAGACAAAGAAGCACTTTGGGTTTTTCAGTTTACCCATTATCTTTACCCATTATCACAGTAGTGTTAAAATGTAACTTCCACCTGCTTTGGAGGTCCCTCAATCAAAGTATGCGGTATTGTTTTTCTCCAATAACACTGATGGAATATGATGGAAATATGTTTGATATACAAAAACAGAAGTAAACTGGATTTTCATCTTCATAGATGAGCAAACAGGTCAGTATTTATAAAAGTATTTTTATTATGTGTAAATGCTTTTTGTAATTGTGACAGTTGTACATGATTTTTTTTTCAAGAAAGCTGCAGTTGGACTGCATGGCCATTTTTGTGGAGAGGTGTTCTCAGTAAGGGGTTCTCACCCCTCCCCTTTCAAATCTCATTTCTTGCTAGCAGCTTAACACAGAGCCACTGCACTCACAGCTTGGGAGTTACAGGGGAAAATACTTTACTTGATAACATTTAATGAAAAATATCTGAGCCGATTCCCATTCTGCCCGTAGAATGACCACTGGGGGCCTGTGGGAAGAGGTTATACAACCATTTTTGTAAATCACATGAACAAATGAGAAGAATCTTTTAAAGATTAAAGAACTGCCATATAGTGTAAAGGTCTTCCCTTGAAATGTATGTTTAAGAGCGAATCAAGTAAATTCACAGCATATTTTTTTCAGTGTTTTGCTGCAGTCTGTGGTCCAGGCCTATGTTCCAGCGCCAGCCGTTCGCTCTCTCTGTGCCTCTCCATGCCTGCAGCAGCTGTCATCAACTTTCAGCTCTTCTGGGAGAATGACAGGAGATAATCCTGCCACTTAATAATCATGAGTACCATCCTGATAGGCTGGATTCTGCAGTGGGCTATGTTTGATGCCATGAGTTGCTTCTGGCTCATGTGTCTGAAGTAGATGTGCACAATGTATGAGTGATTGAATTTTTGTTGTGTGTCAGAATTTGAAATTAGAGCTGAAAATAACTGATAGCTTGCACGCTAACGCATGTGTAGTCATTGGCCATTTAAAAGGCCAATACAGTTATTTTGACCATTTTAATTGTTCAAGATGTGATCATTTTAGTGAACCCCTCATGTCTACTGTTTCCTGATTTTTACTAAATTAGTGTAAACTTTAGTCTGGCATTGCTATGTGATATTACAATATTACACAGGACAACATAGTTCTGAGTATTCTGCCTGGTAAAGCCGTTAGCGGTCATTTTGATACATTGCTATACATTAGACTGTGTATTAATTTTTGTTGTATAACACTGGGTGCACATAAACTTCAACAATTGATTGTTGAACTGTTGATGGTACGTTCCACTGACCACTGTGGAACGCTGCTGTTGCTGTTGCTCTATTGAAAACAGTGGAAAATTCAGGTGGCAGCTGAATTTAAAACAAGCTAAATGGTTGGTTATTAGTGTATGCATTAGCCATAATCGGGTTTTAATTATCAGTTATTGTTATCGTCCCAGGAATTCCATATAAGTACATTGCTAATCTGAAGTGTTGAGGGACACAGTGACCACTCAGAGTGCTGTGCATCACCTCTCTCCTCCATAACAACGATGTAGACCTCAGGCAACTGTGCCTACGTGTGCATTTCTGGAAACATCCGCAGCGTGTCCCCACCAGAGGTCGAGTCAACAGTATGATGGATGAGAGGAGCGTACCATCCCACACCACAGGGGTGGGATTGTTCCTGGAGATTAAGGAGCACAATAGTCTGCCATTTTGTGTGCATCTGTGCCTCCTTTTTTTCATTGACCACAGCCTCCTCTTTGCCCTGTCCACTGAGATGGCTAAATATATAGTACTAGCCGATGACATTCTCAGACAAATGTGTCCTCCAAGACAAACAATTACTGTGTAATATTTTTATTTGATGGTCTGACCTACCAACAGGACTAGGCCCTGAGGGCCTGAAAGCCTGCTATGTTTGCCTGTAAAAGAATTCTACTAGGCTTCCTAAAAGCCTACAATCTTAACAGCCAGTAAGGATGTAATATAGCCGTGGTCCCTGTGAGCAAATATTTGTTGCAAGACAAAGCTGGACTAAACACAGTCCATCCAAGTGAAGGATGGTGAGCTAATGGAATGCAATTTAGCTGTTTGTGTTTGTTTCTCCGCCTGGTTTCAATTCTTCATGCATGTCTTTCACAGCTCTAGCCATAACATGGCAGTCCTTGCATGCTCTGTTGAGCCAGAGAGCTGGAACAGGCCAACTGGATGCCTCAGTCATGATCAGTCCCCAAAACACCAGTACCAGGGCCAGTGGTGTTCATATCATGTTGTTTTGTGCAGATTAGGAACTAACGTAATGTGCCTGCAGTCTGCTAGTCTGCAGTCCCCTGTGGATATAGAATAGCACTCGTAAGTCTGGCAGGCATTATTTAGATAGGGTTCATTGTGCTCTACTGAGGCCAGGTTGGTGTACTGTGTCACTGTAGCATGACATCATGACTGCTACTGTTGTGTTTTCGTTGCTGTATAATGAATGGGTTGTTTTGGTAATGAGCATTTATCTGTGCTGATGGTGACTACATCATATACCATCACTGAGCAGGTACGGAGCTGCAAAAACAGTGCTGTGGAACAGTCAAAGACTTTTTCATTTCCAGTCAAAACGGCCATTAGAAACATCAGCATCTGAAAAAAGCAGAAATCATATATTTCACAGGGAATAACACAGAGGTCTCAACAACTAAATATAAAATCAACATTTTCAATTTCTCGTGTGTGCATGCTTTTTCTTTATTAAGGCTTCTACTTTTGTTGGAAGACTTGTTTTTAGTTTTTTAAAGAAATGGAAAAGGAATGTTTTTCCTCATCTCCAAACGATCCAAGTAATCCCAAACACTTTCAGTGGTGTTGGGGTCTGGACTCTGGGGTGGTCAGTCCATTGTTCTGAGAACACCAGAATCTTCTTTGTTTCATTTGAATTTTTTTCCTTTTCTCAGTAGCAGCTTTTTGATGACTACACATCCTTTCAGACCCATAGTGTTAATTTGTCTTCTCACAGTGGAAGGATGGACAGAAACATTGGATTTTTTCAGATCTGAAGCAAGAGTGGAGTTTGACTTTCTCCTCTCTCTCAAAGATGAAAGCTTTAAGTACTGTTCATTTGATGGTGACAGTTTTGGTGGTCTACTAGGTCTTGCACGATTGTTAGAACTTCCATTTTCTCTGTTTTTTTTAAATATTTTTTTATTTGATATTTTTTATATTCCCTTGACGTTCCCATTCCTTATTTAAGAGGGTTATTTTTTATCTAACGTCTTCAGAAATATCTCCTGAGAAATAAGTAATTTGATTGTAAATCAAATAAATGAATTGTGATCTCTGACCTCTGCACAGAACTGTACGTCTGAGCAGGTTAACCACTTACACAACTACTATATATTCTTGTATTTATTGTATGTAATATACTTATTATGAAACTACTATGTGAGTTAGGAACTGAAGTGAAGGCCCAACACAAATTGTGCACAGACAAAAATGAGCTACAGTCTTCAGCTGTACTTTTACAAGATGTACCAACAAGCTGTCTGATAAAGTGGTCAGTAAGTGTATACGGACAGGTGCTCCATTGGGAATCTCCTAGCAAGGGCCCTAAAACATCTCTTTTCTTTTCAGAGTCAGGCAGAGGCCCATTACAAGGGGAACCGCCATGCCAGGAGAGTCAAAGGCATTGAAACCTCCAAGACTCGTCCACAGGAAAGTGACAAGCCTCCCCCTGGGCCCACCTCCTCCCCCTCGCCCCCAGGTGCCCAGCAGGCCAGCACTGATACTGACTCCAGCAAAGCAGGTCAGAACTTTACAGAGAACATGTCAAAGCCTAAGAACAACCATACACAAGTCAAGAGTACATGTATTGTTATACTCACTAGAACCCTGTCCATGGACAGTGGGCAGTATGACAATAGTGTGGTAAATTATGTCACATGCTCTTTTCTGAGCTTATCATGAATATAGGAGGTACTTAAGGAACACTGAGCAACTGCAGGCAGCCTAAATCTGATTTTTTCACACATCCAATTTGGGCGGGACACATTTTCTGCAGTCTGAACAACAAAAAGCCACATGAGATCTGACTTTTATCAAATTGGATTCAAGCCACATTTGTTGGTGGTTTCAAATCTGATTTCAATTGGATTTCTGCATATTTGACTGGTGAAATCAGACTCTGTGTGTTATTTCATACTGACTTTTACATTACAACCTGGACACAGAGAGTAGAAGCTTTTAACTTGGTATGCTGCAGTTTACAGTGACTGTTTTATAAAAAGTTACTGCTACTGCTACAGCCTGTAGCTTATTAGCAGTCTGGTGACCAGGTCAGCCTACACCCATGTGATGTTCTGTTTATGTCATAATTAATAAAAAGTGAAATGCTGTTGTGAAATCATTCTGTTAGCTAGTTATTGTTGCTAAACTTACTAGGTTTTGCCCCAACCTGGTCAGCATGCGTGCGTCATTACTACGGCAACCAATGTTTACATGTGAGGAACAGCAGCTATAGTCTGATGATACAAATCAGATCTGGTCACTTGTGATGTAAAAACTAAACAGTCAATCTAAAAAGTCAGATAAAAGGAACAAATCTGATTAGCACTGTTGTGTAAACATAGCCTCAGTGGATGTAGTGGTTGTTTTTTGTCTGTTCCCATTTATCAAAGCTCAGAAAAAAGAAATATTGTAATGTGTACTGATGCATATCACCCACACTTAGTCTATTAGGATCCGAATTGCAGCCACTTCATCAGTAACTGTCACGCCATTTGGCAAGGCTGAAATATCCTCGCTTATCCATGCCTGTATTTCATTATGTATTCAATTAAAACCATACCAAAGCATTCAATGTAGGAATGGGTGCACATTCCCCTTTTGCTGCTAAAGATTCAAGTATGTGAACTATCTAGGACTCTACTTGTTTAGCTAATGCTTCAAAGTACAGCAAAATAACGGTACAGTCCATTAGGAGGTCTTGTCATACTTTATCCCCTCAAAGTGTGTGGTCTGACCTTTCTCCTTCGAAAGGAGCCGCTGCTACTTTCCCAGCGCTAGGGTTTGAAAGGGCAGTCACAGGCCCTGTCCTGCAGAGACAGAGCAACACAGAGGAAACGTCTTTTCAACCTAGCCCAGGAAATAGCACAGCCAGGCTGCTAATAGCTTGGATAGAGCAGCGCAATCTTCAGTTGTGGGTCTGAAATTCTTGGAGGGGGTCTTGGCGAAGGCCGCAAATGTGAGTCCTCGTTTAGAGGCTGATCTCATGTAGTCAGTGTGACTTTGCAGGGTGCCACGGGAGCATGGCACTTGTTTCGCATCTTTATTAAGCACGACCAGCTGAAGTGCTTATGGCACCGTGGGTGGCATAAATGGGTATTAGAAGGCCATTTGTCTCAGAATCAAAATAAACTGTGGGATTGAGAGGGGCTGGCTGGGAGTGTCAGGTGAACATCGAGTGTATGGAAAAAAAAGTGAAGGAGCAGAGAATTCACTGGCCTGCGGGATTAGCTGGGAGAGTGTGCGTGGAATAGCAGGGCGGAAACGTCACAGCTGATCTTCGTTTAATCAAAAATGATTAAATGTTGGCAGATCATTTCAGCTGGCAGGTTAAGAGGACAGTGCAAAAAGCTGGGCGAAGGTGCCTCTTCTGCCTTATTGAACCGAGCATCTTGCTGGCTATACATTCTTTGCAATAGCCCCTTAAACCCTTTATATCTGCTGCAGGAGGAGTTACAGCATATGCATGCCCATGTTGGCCACAGTGAAATGTTTCAGTGTGTAAAATCAGAGTTTTCTGTGTGCTGCCATGTTTTCCATCACTGTATAAAAGATGCACAGGACATTCTTTATTGATGTACTGTGAGTTTGGTTCAGTAAGTGCTTATTATTGACCAGGTTTATCAAATAAATGCAACAACAGTGCTAATAAATTACATTATTAATGCAAAACAGTAGATTAAATGGCAAAAATAGTCATTTTTTCTGTCGGCCATAAAGGAGAATTCCACCAGTTTTTCAAAATATTAAAATAATAAACAAAGCAGGGCGTTACAAGGCAAAATAGTCTCCAGAGAAAACATATTTTTACATATTTTAACCACTATGTTACCTTTATGAACAGTACATATAAAAAGTCAGGAGACATTTGTAGGTTCACAAGTCATTTTGGACAATAAATGAATTGGTTATGTTTGTGTTGTATGTCACCACCACTGTAAAGAAATCTGTGTTAGTATATTTCTCTACAATTAACTATTTCATGTCAGACCACTCTGAATGACTTTGTTTTCTGAATGAGTTTGTCTCAGCAAAGTAATTGTGCAGAAATGCTGAGGAGTCAGTGCAGTTCTTCTTTAAAGGGTTATTTAAGCTTCAAATGTTGTCCAAATCTGAACATGGCTCACCAAAATTGTGTTTAAACTTAACTTGACCCACTGCACAAAGTTTAGAAACGTAAGCTTTGAACTTAACCTGAACCTGAATACCAATAAAACTCCACATTCCTAATAGTGGTGTCTGTTAAGTTCTAATGTAATGACAATGACTGCTGTCATTAGATCGTCAGTAAACACAGTTAAAGAACTAAAATGAAAGATTTAGTCTCGATGTTGTCACTTTGGCCTCATTGACCTTGGTGGAGGTTGCTGGATCTTGCTTGACCTTGTTGGACCTTACTGCCAATAATACATAAAAATTAGGCAGAAAGACTAAAGCAGGGAGACATGCAATAAGAAACCTGAATGTAAAATTTGCTCCTGATCCAAGCTATATTGGAGCAATTCAATGAAAACTGATGTGACTAGCCGGGTCCTGTTCGGTTTGGACTTCACTCCCTTCCCTCCGCAATTTTCTTTCTGTCTTCACCCTCCTCTTTCCATTCACTCATCACCAGTGCTGGATCAAACCATTAGGAAAGTGGGAAGCACCCTTAGCTGCATGACATTTTCCAAAGGTTGTGAGCAAGTGCTGGATTGCCCTTTTCAGCTTTACTGTGGCTGTCACTACAGATAGAAGCTTTGAGAGAATCCTGAGGTAAAAGACATCGATTAAGTTGCTGCAAGGCATCCGTACAGAGCCGACTTTACTATATTTTTCCACCACATCATGTACAAATCCTGCTCTTCATAACAATCTCTAAAATCTATGTTGTTCTTCCTGCCTGCATCCTGCTGGTGGCCCATCCTCAATAGAAGAGCACAGAGAGGCCAGGGTTCAAGAGATAGCATGTCCCTCGCTCAGGGATTTGCCTGCTCATAGAAAGTGGTCATCTGTTCATGAAGGCCAGGAAGAATTCTAGCAGGAGGGAGCCAAAACAAGCCAGCCCATGATCTAAATGTGAAACCAGATACATGTGAAAGAATGCCTTTTTCCATCCAAACCTCGATCCTGTGACCCTCCCCCTCATAACACTCAAACACACACACACAGAATTCCAGTGCATCGGCCGTTTGCTCATATCTCTCAGCGGTTTCTTTGTTTTGATGGCTTTCTGTAATACCAGTTTCACAACACAGCTTCCATGGAGCTGACAGCCCCAAGGAAGCCAACAGCTGCAGTCCCATCTGGCTGCTGGAAGTCCTGTATCCAGGGGTAGAACAGAATGTATGTGTGTGGTGTGTCAAAACAGTTTGGGGGCATTATCTAGTGCTTTTCTGAGGTTCATCTTCATTACCTAACACTTACACTCTTAAACAAAAGGGATCTTAGGGGCAGTGCCATAAAAGAAGCACTTTTGGATCCCTCTGTATTCTTTCCACGACTGGTTCTTTGACCCTTTAAGACCGAAATAGGGAAATGGCCGCCTGGACATTTTTTGTTATATCTAACAGTAATGATGCATGTGTTGTGAGTTGTGTTTGAGCAAAAATGTGAACTGTCTGTGAAACCCTGAGGACCAATTTAGAAACTTCTAGTGTATTGTATCATTACATTACTTGGGAACCACTGCAGTTCACTGTCTTACAAGTGTTTTACATCACCAGCTTTTCAGTAATACCAGTTACTGAACACAATTAGTAAACATTAAAGCCAAAAAAGCACATATTCCCACATTTTTACTGACAAAATGCCACTTAATAAAAGCCACTTAATGTCACTGCTGTGTAATTATACATTTTTCTTAGCACTTTCAATAGATGTTTTTAGTTGATGCTCTTACTAGTAATATGTATTGCTATCTAGCTGTATAGAGACACATCACACTCCTGACTTTTCTCAATTGTCCCTGGCCTCCTCATTTGTCCCCTTGAATGGCATTTGTATTTTTGCAGCAACCATCTTGAAAAAAAAAATCTTTTTGAGAGTCAAAGTCAAATGTTTTGAAGCCTTTCAAAAGTCACCCTGGAACTTGCTAAAGCTATATTGCCAGTCACATTTTAAAACACGATGTGCAAACAACCAGTTTGCATTGAAGTCCCTGTAGTCATTGAGCCTTAGTATGTAGTAAGTATGCTGAGATTTTAAGGGTTAATCCTTTGATTGGCTGGCAAACAATGACAAAACAAACAAATGTGTAGGAAAAAAATGCATGCTGATCATCGATCTGTATACACTGCAAACTAATCGGTGAGCAGATGCCTCTGCGGATGTAGTGTAGAAGAGGGCTTTAAGAAAAGCTCTCTAATTAATATAGAACCTTTTCATTGCATGAGGGCTTCTCAACACTTACAACTGGCATCCGTTCTCATCCATTAAACGGTTCTTTAGAGAACTAAAAGTGGTTCTTTCAGTGGCATTGCTTCCAAGAACGCTTTTGGCACCTTAGTCTTAAGAGCCGACCAATGCATTTATGAGTGTGTT